TGTTCAGACCAGGGTACATTTACCTGCCGTTTCCTTGAAACATTAAGTTGCCAATTCAAATATTCAATTTTGTTGGTTTTTACAAATATTATATGTAAGTGGTTTAGGTGTAATTTTAGGGTATCGAACTTTGCAGGTAACAATATCTTTAAGATACTTTATCTTCAAGTACTTAAATAATATTAGAAACCAGTTGGTTAGCACTTTCACCCCTTCCTCTATCAGGGTGGAGATTATGTTATAAATAGGCTGACACACTCATAATAACAGACATCAAAATAGACATCAAATAAGAACAATTAAGACAACAACAGACAACAATTAGTAGCATCAGTGTAATCATCAAGTTCAGGGTCTTCAATATATGTATTAACTGTATATTTGTAAATAAATATTACTAAGTGCAGTTATTCGTGTTATTCATCACTGAGGTAAATTATTTGCACTTACAATCCTTCCAAAAATTCGTGTGCTCCCTCATAGGAGAAAGAAGTGGCGCGGCAGCGCAAAATAAATAAAACAATACGTATTATCTAGATCTCAGACCAATCCATCTGATTAACATAATGTATTGACAACAAAAATCTACATTGAAAAGGGCTTGTAATTAAGATGAAATTTCAGTAGTCGTTTGCACAAAATAAAAAATATTTTTTACCCTAAACTGATTTTGAAGATATACTTAAATTGGAAAAAAATAAGGATCAAATGGAATCTTCAAATAATTGCAGATTTTGAAAATTAGATTTGATTTTCGAATTGAAAGTTGTATTTGATTCGTACACTACTGGTACAGCCCGACAGAAAATAATTTATTATATTAATATAACAGAAAAAAAATAAATTTTCTATTTCTTCTACATATATAGGTAATATCCTATTGAAGAATCGAAAACGTTTAAAAGTTCTGGAAATTTTATTTATTTATTAAACTTGATCTCTTTAATAATTACTTCTTTGTTAGTTTAACATTATTAGTTAGGTTACTTATAAAAATGTTATTGACCAAAAATATTTATGCCGTGAATGTAACATTAGCGCACTAACGATTGTTTGAGTAGACCGGTGCATTCTTTATTTGAAAATTTTCAAGGTTTTCGGTAATATTCTAAAGGCCTACGGCGTTAATTCCTCTATGTCCAATTACTATAAAATCTTCCAACCCATTTTAGATATCTTCAGTTTCTCTCGTTATTTCAACAAAAACGCATACGTAAATATACATGCTGCATGTATAAAATGTTTAAATTAGTGGTGTTTTCGGTTTTTGTGTCGGTAGTTTATTCATCGGCTCCGTATCCACCAGCCAATTATAAATCTGCCATCTTCGACAGTGATTGCGAGCATAATGTTATTCACGAACACGGAATTGCTGTTCCAGAATTAGCTGTTGAAACACATCTCCCATCTCACGTATCTGTCTCGAGTGGTAGTAGTGCTCAGTGGAAACATGACGTTATCCATAAGGAAATACATTCAGCTCCTACAGTTACACTTAAAACTTACGCTCCAGCCAAAGTTTCTCTTCCGGCTGCAATCAGTACTCAGTGGACACATGGATCAATCAGCGAACATAGTCACGATTCTCCTGCAGTGGAATTAAAATCATATGCCCCGGCATATTCCATTTCTCCAGGTGCTGTCAGTACCCAGTGGAGACACGATATTATTAAGGAACATGGCCATGAAGCTCCCGAGGTAGTTTTGGAAGCCCACGGCGGCTCTGGTTTATCTCATCACGGTTACAGCTATGAGGCTCCGTCTAGTGCAGTCAGCACTCAATGGAGACACGATTTGATCAAGGAATATGTCCATGCTGCTCCTTCCGTACATCTTAAACCTTACGCTCCTGTTCATGTCGATGCGCCAGCCGCTGTAAGCACCCAATGGAGACATGATATTATAGAAGAAGGAGATCATGCTTCTTCTGTTAAGTCCTATTCTTCTCAACATGAACATTCTCCAGATGCAGTCAGTAGCCAGTGGAGGCACGATGTGATCAAAGAAGAATCCCATGAAGTTCCTATTGCTATCAAGACCTATGCGCCCGCCTATGCTGACCATTCAGCTGCAGTTAGCAGCCAGTGGAGACATGACATTATTAAAGATCATGCAACTCCGTTTATAATTGAAGTTCACCCCAAAGAAGATGCACATGCACATGCTACCCCAGAAATCCACAGTACTGCTTCCGCTGGACACATCATCCACTGGGGACATGATACCGCAAATGAAGAAACCCATGCTTTCGAGGGTCATCATGCTCCTGTTGTAGAGCTTAAACCGTATGCTCCAAGTCATGTTTATGCTCCAGCTGCAGTCAGTAGCCAATGGAGACACGAAATTATTAAAGAAGAATCCCATGAAACTCCCGCTGTAGCAATCGAAGCTCATCATGCTGCACCTGCAATCTACAGTACCGCATCCGCTGGTCACATTAGCCAATGGGGACACGACACCACAGAAGAAGAATCTCATACCCTTGGAGGTCATCATACTCCTATTGTAGAACTGAAACCTTATGCTGCCGCTCATGTTTCTGCTCCAGGTGCTGTCAGTAGCCAATGGAGACACGAAATTGTTAAAGAAGAATCCCATGAAACTCCCGCTGTAGTCATCGAAGCTCATCACGATGCACCTGCAATCTACAGTACCGCATCCGCTGGTCACATTAGCCAGTGGGGACACCACACTACAGAAGAAGAAACTCATACCCTTGGAGGTCATCATACTCCTATTGTAGAACTGAAACCTTATGCTGCCGCTCATGTTTCTGCTCCAGCTGCAGTCAGCAGTCAATGGAGACACGAAATTGTTAAAGAAGAATCCCATGAAACTCCCGCTGTAGTCATCGAAGCTCATCATGATGCACCTGCAATCTACAGCACTGCATCTGCTGGTCATATTAGCCAATGGGGACACGACTCTACAGACGAAGAAACTCATACCCTTGAGGGTCATCATACTCCTATTGTAGAACTGAAACCTTATGCTGCCGCTCATATTTCTGCTCCAGCTGCAGTCAGCAGCCAATGGAGACACGAAATTGTTAAAGAAGAATCCCACGCAACTCCCGCTGTAGCTATCGAAGCTCATCATGCTGCACCTGCAATCTACAGCACTGCATCCGCTGGTCACATTAGCCAATGGGGACATGACACTGCAGAAAAAGAAACTTATACTCATGAAGGTCATGATGCTTCTACCGTAGAACTTAAACCTTATGCTGCAGCCTATGTTTCTGCTCCAGCTGCAGAGAGCAGCCAATGGAGACACGAAATTGTTAAGAGTGAAGTTCATGCAGCTCCTGCTATAACCATCGACGCACATCATACTGCTCCAGCTATCCACAGTACTGCTTCCGCTGGGCACATCAGTCAGTGGCAACATGATATCGTTGAAGAAAAAACCCTTGACGGTCATCATGCTCCTATTGTTGAACTTAAACCTTATGCCGCAGCCCATGCTTCTGCCTCAGCTGCAGTCAACAATCAATGGAAACACGAAACTGTCAAAGAAGAAACTCATACAGCTCCTGTCGTAGCCATCCAAACTCATGCTGTTAAAACATACGCACCAGTCTATAGCAGTGCTTCCTCTGGACACAGTAGCCAATGGCAGCATAATTTAGTAAAAGAAGAATCTCATGGTATTGAAGCTCACCATGCACCAATTTCTGTTCATGTATCCGCTCCAGCTGCAATCAGTAATCATTGGAACCACAATCTGATAAATGAGATTCACGCTGCTCCTGCTGCTATAATTGCACCGTACCCTGCAGCTCACTCAAAAGTTCATGAATGTGATTAAATATAACAATTGTTTATAGTGATGTATTAATTGTGTTGTTCTAAGTGTTATGTAATATATATATATATATATATATATATANAAAGTTTGTTCATTTTTGAAAGCGTTTTCTTCGTAATTTAGAACATATTAAATAGTCTACTATGAATTATAAATTATACAGGTTGTATTTCGTTAATCAAATCATTAATTGTTTGTTTCATTATTAGCTGTTGCAAATTTACAAGACATACTTGCAGTTCTTTTAAATTTAATGTGAATATAATTACCGCATGCCTTTTTGTGAATTCTTGTTCCAAACAGAACTCATTTGAATAAATCTTGCATTGAATTAATTAATCATCATCATAAGGTTATCAGTTGGACACACATCTCCACGTTTTCCTATCCTGAACTAATCTTCGCATTTCTGTAAAACTAGAACATCGCGCATCCTTAACTGTTTGTGAACAGTAATTTAACCTAGGTCTACCTCTACTCCTCTTAACTCCTGTTTCTGCTTCTAATATTTCTCTAACTATCCCGCCATGTATGTCTGACTATTCACGGTATCCTTATGATTCGCCTGGAACACCACATCTCTAATCTTTTCTTTACTTCTTTTTGTTGAAGGCAACTCTACCGTGCGCTATCCTCTGCTTTTGTCTGTTTTATATCTCTGCTGCTCTTTCCATCCTGAATTAAAATTTTCCTAAATATCGAAAAACAGCCACTCCTTTGTCTCCTGTCTTTATATTCGCTCTTTCCCTACTTTTTCTTCCCTTAAATATCAGTATATTTATCTAATCAATTCGTAAAGAAAGTAAAAAAATAAAATAATAAATGAAACTGAGATAGTAGTTATTTTGCAGTATACTTATTCGTATTCTGTATAAAATGAAAATATCAAGGAGATCTTAAAATAAATTATTAGTCGAAAATTAGAAACCGCAAAATGACGTAAACATAAAAAATAATTATATATTATTCATAATTATTTCTGCTATTCAAACTGCAATAGTTAATTTATATTTCATATTATATCTAAGAAAACTATATATTAAAAGTCTTCGTTGTTTTGCAACAGTTGTGGAGGTATGCAAATAATATTAGCATGTAAAGTCACATTATGAGTTATTATGAATTATAGGGAACCCTGGAATGTAGTGTAGATGTATTATTTCGTACATTTTAACGATAACAGTTTTCTTGAGTTGATTTACCTACTACACAAGTTACATCGTTGGATATTTTTTTTATTGACTTATTTATATATTTTTTCAAACTTTCTTAACTCATGATATTCCACTGTCATAATACCTAGCAAAATTCCTACAATTCTGTAGAATAATAATGTGAATGAATAAATTATAAAATAGTGGGGTCGATTATTTATTAATACAAGTGAAGTGTAAGACATTGTCACTAGTTTACAAGCTTTTTTCTATATACAGTCAACCCTGGGTAAGCGAGAATTCAAGGGACCCGAATATTATTCACACTCAGAGTTTTCTCATTTATAGGGGTTAAGGTAGAGGTGGTGGTAGAGCGTTAAGAAATAGGTAATACATAAGTATATACACATTTGACTATAAATAGGTACTTATTTTATTTATTTAAAGAAATCAGTTAATTTTTTCTGAGTATCCTTTTTACAATTTTGAATATGTTTTTCAA